CCTAGTTAATTTCATGATACATCCTATTACAAGAGATTACCAAATGATACAGACACCATAAATTAAAGAAGAAAATTACTTTACAGCACTTAAAAGATTAGTCCTGGTCACATTCCTCTCATTACAGGCAAGATTTATGTTGGAATGTGAAACTTAAGCTCTTCAGTGTATTGAGACCCCAACTGTGAGAATGTCATAGCTTCCCTGTATTATTGGGATGAATGTATTTAGCCTGTTTCACAACCAACATATGGGTTTTATTGTTGTCACTACTGAGTTTGAATCATTTGCAAAATATCAGAATAAACTATATATGTGGGAGATACAGCAATTGGAATAATTGGTACTGAAATGGACACTTTCGACTAGGATTGGCTAAATGTTTTACAACTGAGGTTTAACATGCCCAGACGCAGTTTTATAAAGAAAACAGACTAGAAAAAGGTTTAGATACCAATCATAGATGGCAGAACCAGTGCTGAAGTGAAAGGAAATATCTTTAAAAAATTTTTGAAAAAACATTTCTTCTTAGAGGGTGAAAATACGTTTTAGACTGTAAATAAGAGGAATTTTTTCATTAAATTCCTCTTTAAACTTCATTAAAGAATACAATTTTGTACAAATAATTGAATATTATGCTACTATTTATAAAAATAAAATCAGAAATCCATTAAAAGATAAGTTCTCTATCATTTTTTCAATTCACAAATGATTTTGCCTTCACACTTGCATATTCTACTAAGAAAGTTGGTAGTCATCGGGTTAATTGCCATGTCATTGGTGCTTTCAATCTCATGGCAGATTGCCTTTCCCACCCCAACAAGTATTTACCTGATGGACTAGTCCCTTCATCCTCTCATTTTTCAGTGGCTTTGCAATATATGGAGTTTTCTTCACATCGATGTATTTGCCACCACACTAAACCACTAGTTACCCCTCTTTTGGTCCCCAGTACCTGATCCTCAAGCTTTGGCTATAAATGCCTTCAGCCAGGATTGGTCAAACAAATTCCTCTATGTTTATCTTCCTATCCAACTGCTTCATTGGGTTGTTTCCCTTATCCATGCCACACTGTGCCGGGTCCTTCTGATCACTCCCTGCTGGCCAGCTCAAACATGGTTTCCTCAGTTACTCCAACTGCAATTATTCCCTCCTTTACCACTTCCATTATTACCCGACTTCCTTCATCAACCCCAGTTACCGGTTCTGCATCCTGCACTTCACCTCTTCCATTTTCATGCCTGGCTTTTGTACAGTCCTTGGTGAGGAGATCTGGTTTCTTCCATCCTGTAGCTTTTCATTTGGCTCAATCCATACATCCTTCCTCCATGGAAGTGTATCAGTGAAAGTAGAAGGTCTTTCACACATGGGCCCAGACTCGGGGATTTCCTGCTACTCATCCTACTGTAGCTGGTGTCTCGGAATTTCTCACATGGCTTTTTGACCAAGGATCTTCAGTCTCCTTGATTTCCAGTTATCAGGCAGCTTTGTCCCATACTTTTCATCTCTCCCATTACCTCAGGGTTTTTCTCTCACCCTTCCTTACCATGTAATCTGTTCCTTCTGGATTCGTAGACCTACTCTTCTGGATTGGGACATTAATGTGGTCCTCCATTCCCCTACTTTACCTCCATTCAAACCTATTTCCTTGTGTTCTTAGTTTTACCTGTCCCTTAATCCTTCCATTATGTGCTGGGTGAATTCCACCCAGCTCATAACCAGGAAAGTATCTATGAGAGTAATTGTACTATAATATTTTAAATATGTAAGCAAGTCTTTACAAAATTTTGCAGATTATTAGTAAACCTGACAAGGATTTCATACACAAAATATCTGATTTTTGAATTATGTTTTAAGATTTTCTTATTAAAGATTTGCTCGTGAATTTTTCTTTCAGAATGTTGACTATCCAATGTACACGGTAATGTTGATTTTAAGATGAAAAATACTTTTCTTTATCTGAAATTTCTCAAGTTTCATTTGTATAATCTCTATATATCCTTCTAGATAATCATCAAACTTTTTTTTAAATTAAACTTTATATTTAGTCTGTTATATTATCAATATTAACTCTATATTGTGTTGATCAATTCAACCAACCTTGTAACCATCATAAAAATTAGGAAATAAATCTAAATTACCTTTTTTTGTTCTAGAATAACTGCAAATTGTAATAGGAAACCACAAATGTTTATTCTAAATAGCTTAAATCTCTTAACAATATAAATCTATTTATATTTATTAATTTTTTTTTATTGACCTTCGAACCGTGTTTGACTAAAAAATACCCTGGCAGGAGTTGAAAATTACATGGCACATGTGCATCTACATTACCCTATCAAACAGCATAATGGAGAAGCTTCTGGTGCGTATACCCCATAAAGGTTTTTTATTATTTTTCTTTCATCATCTTACCTAAAAACTTTGTTTTTATGATTTTAGTTACTTTTATAATAATAAACACTTAAAACAACTGAAAAATAAATAAACCTTGTAATTAAATATCAAATTTTTATTTTCAGTAAACCTTTATATTTTATTTGTTATTTTTTGTACTGTAACATTATACTTATTTCTCCAGGTTTTAGGTAAGTCATCAAAATATAACGAAAATAAACGTTGCAAAATAAAATGTATAGTATTGTTGGTAGTGATTACAAAATTTCAAAGTACTTATGGTCAGAGTTTATGCTCTCACCTTTTGACACTTATTTTCTGTAATTATTTTATTTCTAGTAGATGAATTAGAAATTAGAAGAAACAAAACGAATAGTACTCTGTTCTTTTCAGTATTGACAGTAAAGTTCCAAGTAAATCTCCTGAGAGTTTTTTCTAATCTTTTTATATCAATTTCCTATTGTTATTCTTCTGTTAGCGGCTGAAGCATAAATCTGCCAAATATAAATCAATGAATCACCGTTCCTATTGAGGTATTACCATACTTTGAGTACTTTGACACCATCAGCATCAAATAAGCTCATGCAGGCACAATTCCCAGAAATTTCCCTGCTTTGAAAACACAGTGGGATAGGATATATCAACTTGTTGACAGTATAATGGTTACAAAGACAATTGTATAAAGTATTATAAAATGTTTATGACTTTGGCGAAAGTCTAGGCTGATCCAATAAGTAAAAAAACTGAAGTATCATACAGAAACTATTCTGATTGCTGCTCTGAGAACACAGTGGGATAAAATTTTATAGCTTCTTTACAGTACAATGGTTGCAACAAGAATTGTCTAAAGTACTTTATAAATGTGAGAGAAAATATTTATGATATGGCTCTGTACAAAGTATAAAGTTGTATCCTATACACTAAATTTGCTAGTTATCTTACTTGGTGGTCAGGATTTAGCATTGGTATAGGTTTAAATGTGTGTAAATGTTTACAGACATCCTGTTTCCTATATTACCATGCTTACACAGTAACCAATAAATGTGTAGTTTCCAGTAATATAAATATGGCTCGTTTTGGTTGGGCTAGTATTCTTGGCTTAGCCTTCTTGATTGTGACTTGAGAAACAAATTATATATTTAGCCTTTTTTTTTATATTTAGTTTCAAATTAAGAAACTAACTAATGTATAATACTAATATTTGAATTATAATTTACAATTTGATACCAAACTTATTGACATACATTTATAAAATAATAACTAAATAAAATGTTGAATGTAGATCTACAAACGTGATGACATGCCCTCTGATCCCTACCCATCTCGATATGGTTAAAGCATATTTCCTTCTCCTTTTGTCCTGTGGGCTATGAAGGTCTAACTTGTTTGCCAACGACATTACATGCACACTTTACCACCATAACTATCTTCTCCTTTATCCGGATCATTCCTTCCTTCCCAAGACCTTGGTGGCTCATGAGGGTAACTCCTCTTTTTCCCCTATTTCCCTTCCCTCTACTTCTCATCTCTACCCACGTCCTGATCTGGATCAACATCTATGTCCTGTGCGTGCCTTTCATTGTTATATGGCCTGCACAGCTTTCTTCCATGATTCCTGTTCCTATCTCTTTATCCATTGGCAACCCTCTTCATCTAAAGATCTCTCCCCTTTTACTCTCACCAATTGAGTTCATCATTTCACCCAGTTGGTTTATTTCTCCTTGTCCCCTTCCCACCATACTTTTTTCTGTGTTACCTCTCATCAAATCTGACACCTCACTTTTTCCCTCACCTCTATCTTTGTCAGCCTTTGGAGAAAATTCCCCATTATTTACATCATATCGTGGCTTCCTTGGGTTTTTGCCTCCCACCTGTGGCTATATTTCATACTTTGGTGCAACTCTGACACTGGGTAAGTCTTTATTAATACTTTCTTTATATTCAGGGGCCCATTCTTCATACCTTCATAATAAGGATCTCACTCTGTGGTGAGTGGTGCCTGACCAGGTATTCTTTAACTCTAAATCCACACTGTACACCATGTTGATTCGTGCTTTCCTTTCCATGGTTTGAGATGGGTTGTTTCACAAGATCACATGTAGGTGATAAACTTGTGATATTTGCTTCATAAATTTGCCCATCCCACACCATACCACCCACGAACTTCATGGGTAAAGCAGAATGGGATAGATGCCCATCCCTGCCATGCTTTGATTGAATAAATTGGTGTGATCCGCTTTTGAAAATAGGGTTTCGTGATCACCCATTGCACTGCCTCGGGTGTTGATGTTCCTCCAGGCTCTCCAACACATTCTCAGCCCCCCTTTAGTTTTAGTGGAGTATTGGAATCCTTACCACTTACCATTTTCAAGTTGCTGGAGTAGTTGACCATGGAGACACCCTGATGGATGGGTTCCACATAAGGTGGCTATAACCATTCAGTTCAGAGTAGAGCAGTGGTGTTCTGCCAGTGTAGATGATGTATATCCTCTGATTTGCTATTAACCATACAATGGAGTGAGATGTCACAATGAAGTTCACCCTTCAATTTGGAGCTCTCATCTTATCCTCATGTGGATGTTGGTACCCCGTGGGCTGGTTTTGGATTTAGAGTGAACTAATCAACATAAGTTCTCACACAGGTTCGGGTTGTGTATCTTCCTCCCTCGATTTCTCCATTTGTTTTGTGGGTCACATTGGTGATACGTGGGATTGTGCTGGCTCTGTCCTTGGCTATCCCTCATTCTCTCTTATTACATGGATGTTATTGCCTTTTGGATGATCCCGACCTGTTTCATGGTCAAGGGAGTTGATTGCATATGATAGACTTCCTTTTGATACCAGATATCACATTCCCAGATCTATAGCTCAGAGCTAATCCTGTGTAATACTCAGAAATTGGAGTGATTTTCAGTTTTCCGGTTCTTGGGTTTGAGGTGAAGATGTTATGATCCTCATCCTACTCTTGCACAGATGTCAGCACCCCACGAGGAGGTTTTGGATTTAGTTGACTTACTGAGTATGATCCGCCATGCCCTAGCCACTCTACATCATGGGACACATCCTCGTTTAGCCACTTTTTTCATCGTCAGATTGAGTTATGATATTTTCTATAGTTTAGATCAATTTATATCTCATTCTCTCGCACTTGGATGTGCTCCTCTCAATTTCTTACTCATATCTTACTCATTCTACAGATGGGTGAAGAACATACTTGGTTTAGAAGTGGTGCTATTCCACTCTTCAGATCTTCCGATCTGACTCTCATTTACGGGGGTAGCCTTCAGATACTTTTGGGGGGTACGTCTGTTCTTCCCTTGCACTGGTCCCTCATCGTAATCAGTGTGGGATTCTAGCTAATCTTGCAAGTGGAGGGAAGTACTGTATCAGAAGTTATAATTTTCCTATACTGAAAATGTATTTCCGATAGGTACTTCCCTCCTCTCACACTTCCCACCCTTCCTTCCAACTCACTTCCGGTGGTTCTGTTATCTGCCAAACTTCGAAGTGATAGTTCAGTGGAGGTAAATAGAGGGAGTCACATGCATCATGTGAATGTACTATACTCCTATTGGTGGAGAAGAGATGCATGATGATTTGCAAAAGAGACACGTTGGAATCATTTGATTCCAATAGGGGGGTGCAGAAGTCTTGTGGCATGTGTAATAAAAAAGTTTGCATATAGAGGGTAGCAATGAACGAGAATAACTGATCTTGTGAGTGGAGGGAAGTACCTATTGGAAATCCATTTTCAGTATAGGAAAATTATAACTTTAGAACTAGTGGTTTCTTGAAGTTCTTCAGCAAGGCAACTGCTAGATTTATATCTGTCTGTATGTGAAATAAACCTAAAGCACTGAATGTCTGATCAGGAAAGTGTAGATGGTCTGTTGGATCTGCTTTTTTGATACTTTTGTTTTTGCTGTCTTCTTGTATATAATCAGAAAATGTAAGTCTTGGAGCCATATTTTGTACTTGAAAGTAGAGCAGTCATGTTAGAGTCACAGACTAAAGAAAATTGTATTTCTTTTTTAAAAAACAAATAATAGCTGTAATGATAAAGGAAAAAATGTTGTTACTTTTACAACAGAAAATTAATAAAGGTATAGAATGCTGTATGATGTTGGATGTCACAACATTAACACATCTAAAAGCTACATCCCCAACATTTCAGGGATATAACTATTGTCCATTCTGACGTTCTTACATCTCATTTTTTAGAATTCATTTAAACAAAATATATGATTAGAAAGGTAACTAAATGAATAAAGGTTTTAGATTGGCATTATGACTATATTTCAACCTGGCACTTTTTTGCACAGGAGACTGAATAGAGGTTTCTAATTTATGCTTAGTAGTGTACATCATGATGTCCATTGCTAATCTGAGGAACTCTGGGAGCTGTTCCTTATAAACTTTGTCTGTATTTTTGTTACCAGAAATACTTTAAAATGAAGTTAAAATCATATAAGACACCAGTTTATTTAATAAGTAATGAGCAGTCACTTTATTAATTTCATCCGTACGTGTTCTTCTTAACCATGGTAAGCAAGCATGGATAGTTGGAATAATCGGAAACCGTAATTTCTATTAGTTGATTATCTTCATTTTTCTTTTTTCATTTTATCTTTTGATCATTTTCATGACATTTGATATAATTTATATATAGATTAATTGATTGTTAGAATAATCAAAAACAGTAATAATTGGAAACATTAATTTTGATTAATAGATTTAATCATAATTTCAGTTAAGTCATCTAGTTCAGCTCATGAATATACCACATCATTGAGGGCATGAAACCTTTGTAAGGCTGTTACTTTACCAGGGACCATTTTTTCATATACTGGTTCATCATTACTTTCCATTAATGTCCGCTTGTTCCCGTTATCAATTCCGTATTGGGATCTAACTTTGGAAGGCTTTGTAAAGCTAGTGCAAGGACATCGTGTTATATATTGAGCAAATGTGTACTGTATTGACTGGTTTAGCTTTACAGTCTTCAACAGCATGAAATATATCTGCTTTTTTCTTGGGTTAAAAAATTTGTTGTAACAACAGATAACTTGTTGCTTATTTTTCCCATATTTGTTGATGTCACTAAAGTGGTTTTGAAGTGGCTGTTTGCATTTTATGCCAGATACAGTGTGAGAGAGTCATTTGTTGAAAGGAATGATTTTGTATGGTTTATTTGTGTGGTGTCTTCCATTGTGTGTATCTCTTTCCATTTACAAGCTTTCCCATCCAACTTTCATTGGTGGCATTGCATTTTATAGTAATGACTCTACCATATGACTATCAAAGATTATGCAGGGTGAAGAGGGATCTGCTGATCTCTGAACATCCCTGGCTTTTTGCCAAAACACCTACCAAGGAACAAACGAATGTTCATTTTTTGAATATAAATAGCCTTATGTAATGATTGAATAATTCCCAAGTATTAGAAGTGTACTTTTTTGCATATATTTTTTTTGTATTATGACTTAGTATTGTGTTTTCATAAACTTCAAATGTTACACATATTCTAATATGATTTGAAACACACTTTTGTCCCAATGAAGTACATCTGGTATTCTCACATTTTGAACATAAAATGTATTATGTAGTGTAGTGCATCTTCATACTTATCCAAATGGACAGTTGTTCTGTAATACATATTCTTACCTTTTTTACTTTTACTTTTTTGGTATCTTTAAATTTTTTAGTATTTCTAAACTTTTGAATTTTTATAATTCTGTAATGTAATGGGAAGAAATTTTGTAGTGTGATACGTTCTGTAGTATGTCATATGTATCTTTGTAAATTATATGAATATATAATGCTTGATGTGGTCCCTGGTTCCCTTTGCTGCAGAGTGCCTAGTCTCACTCTCACCACTGCTTACAGTCATCTGCCCTCTCCTGCTGGTGATGATATGATAGTAAAATAGTACATCTCACTTGGGGTGGCTCATGAGTTTTTTTTTTTCATGATGTCGTATTAAATTCTTCAAACCATGAGCATAGAAAAGAGGATCTTTTTATCTTTGAACGTCTTTAGCTTTTTACCAAAACACCTACCAAGGAATGAATGAACAAAAAAAAAGATTGTACATGTATTTCTGACATTTGGCATCAATGAGCCTCACAAAATCTTCAAGTCATTGTTTACTGCAAGCAAGTTTTGGACTAAAGCCTATCCTATTAGTGCATATGTGTATTGGAGATAGTATATGACAGTGTTAGATCAGTTGTGTCAGAATCAATAAGGTTTTTCAAGTTGATGAATCAAATTACCTTTACCCTACATTGGTGAACCTTTCCATCTGAGGTTATAATACTATGATTTATCACTGAGAAACCCATACATTCATACAAACTCTTACAGACTGAAATCCTCTCAATTTAATCAAGCAGTCTTGCAAATAAGGAGAGACATCATATCTAATGTAGATGTGAGTTTAATGTTTTTACAGAGTGAGTTTCAAGTCTAGAACTTGATTTTGATCATTCTGTCCCACACAACTGTTCTGTTATAAACTTCTCTACTGATTCTTCGCCACACTTCTCTGTGTTCAATATTTCTTGAAACATGATTATTTTGGTCATTATATTACATAGCTACTTTATGCTTTCCTCAGATAATTCACGGCAAAAATGAACTAGCACACTTCTTAGTTGTTGCTTGTTTTGTTTCATGGTAAGCTAATAATGCTTTTGTCTGTGGCTAATATTTTCCTCTTGATGCTTTTGATAAACCTAGCAAGTAGTCTGTCTCACAATAAAACATTTCCAAGTCATAAGCATTAAGGCACTATTTGAACATTGTGGATGGACTAATGCCTGTTGGACCTCCATTACTGCTAAGCACTTAAACTTGTTCAGATGCTTCTAGGTTTGATCATAACCAATGTTTATGAATGAGATATGACTAGTAAATGCTATGAAATTTCCATCCTTAAGTTGTTTCCACTTATCTTAATCACCTTTTATCAGTTGGTACATTCTTGCAATGTACTATGGGATGTTTATGGCACTGTCAAATCAATTTTTTTCAAAAAGTATACTAATAGTTTCTTTAATGAAGCATTACTGGAAGTGATGGGTAGCTTGTATGAACAACAGTAAAATGAGAGTACTTAAAATACATGTTAGCCCACCTGTATATTCAGAATTTTTCACCCATGAATTTATTCAGTTTGAGTGACTCATTCTAGGCAGTAAATCCTTCATACATTTCTTTGATGCCATCTTGACTCTTGTAGGTTATGAATATTTTTTGTAAGGTAGGGTGTCTATGCTTCATGGATACCTGGATGTGGTTAAAAAATAACTCCATCCATAGATCAAACAACACTTGTAAGGTCATTTAGTGAGCCTTTATAATTAAGCTATGGTGATTTCTACTTGTATCTTAAATGGTTAATGAAAAATGTACAAGCTTGCCTAAAGCCATGTCTCATTGATACCACTATTTTCAGTTACTTTTCCCAGGCATTGTATGCTATAAAGGTTGATGTGTAGTGAAACTTGGCATATGATTAATTTATCTCCGTACTGTGGGTCCAGATAATCTAGCTTTATTGCTCTCTTGTACAGGCCCATGTCCAGTGAAATGTAATCTTGTTGAAGCTGTTTGGATTGTTAGCTCATTAACTTTTCATATTTGCAAGAGGATTGTGAGTGGTGAGGACCACTTATTTGCTGTTGAATTTAAGAGAGGAAGAGCACAGGCTTGATCAACTGGATACTTATCTACCTCAGATGATATTACAAGAGAGTTGTAGGCAGACCAGATTGGTACATCAGTTGGTAGTATTAATGGTGGTCAATAGATTTACTGGCATGAATTTCAGACTCACCAGAAGCTGTAGAAAAATATTGGAATAGTAGGTGAAGTTACTAGTGGTTGACTACTAGTTGTTCCTTCTATCATAAGTTGTTCATCAGGTGCATGTATCTCAGAAAAATTTGTAGACGTGTGGTTCTGTGGAAAGGCCATGCCAAAAGTAACACTATGTCACTTACCTATTAAATAACAGTTTTATTCTCATGTTGTCCCAACTGAAAATTAATATAAGGAGTATTATTTGGGTTTTAGGGTTTCTGTTATTCTGTATGGAACCAGTTCTGTGATTGCTTGATCATCTTTGAATGATCCTTTATCATCACTGAGTTTCACTAGTTTTGCCAAAGCATTATATAAAATATCTATTTACATACAGTGTTGGTAGATTGCAAGAATTGTAGCATGGAAAGAATTTTTGCCATTTTATATGTCAACTTTTTATTAGTATTGTTAGTTGAACCATGAATGGCCTGAATTTCTGTCAAACCTATTGGAAGGTACACACAATTAGTGTTCCAGGTCACTGCATTTGCAATCTAAGTTATCATTTGTCTAGCATGCCCATAAGAAATCCCCACTCTTGATTTTGCAAGAAAAGTTACAAGTTTATTATTTTGGTAGTCATGAAATCAATAATGTTAGTCTTGGGGCATGTAGAATTTTCCTACATAACATGGAGAATAGTTGATAGTGACTTCAATGCAAGTGACAGTTGTCACGTAGATTTTAATGCTTCGTGCTTGCATTATTTACTGATGTCAAATTATATTATTCTTTGAAAGCATTTCTGTCTTTGCTGACTGTACTCTGTGTAATATCCACCAAATAAGTGCATATAGTTCTGATGAAATTGCCTTTCATACTTTAGTCTTTTGATAATCCATCTGAGTTCCATAGAGTTTCAGTTTTTGTCTGTGTTATAGCTTGACAGATAATTAGTCTACACTGACAAATGAACTGTATATCTCATTTAGTGCTCTTTCTTCTTTAATGTAGCTTGATAAACTGCAGCCATTGTAACTACTTTTAAGTATGCATATGATGGCTTATTCACAACTCTAGGCTAAGTGAATGTTAAATTTTTCTGTTTGTTTCAAGCTTATTCTTTAATTTCTCATCACATTCTTATCCATGTGTTTTTCCCAAATTGATGGGAATATACTCTCTTGAATCAATAAAATGGAACTTTATCTCTACCCTCTACTTTTGAAGTCTTACTATGGTAGGCTATGAATAACTTTTGACCAGTATCTGATCATAAGGGGTGTTGCAAAATAAATCACACTTTTTTCCCCGAAGTAATAATGAACTTGGTAGGACCGTGAGTATCATCACTTGTGAGAAAATGTCATTTCAACATATTCTTGGGTGTTTGACTCTTTGAATTTAATTTTTTTGCAAAAACTTGAATCATGGTGCTCACTAGAACTCAGGTTCATGTTTGATGTGCTGGCTTTCGGATGGCTCAGAAACTAGTCGCAGACATTCTCTGAGAATTCAAGTCTTCCAATTGACACATCACAATGCCAGATTTGAAGAATCCAATTAATAATAAACTTAGCCCTTGATAGTTATGAAAAATAACAAATATGGTATGGCAGTTTATAACATTTTCATACATTTTAGAAAACTTCAGTTATTGAACAAAAATTACAGTAATAGAAAATTTAGTATTTCACTCTAAAATTTAATGTTAAAATTTTTATATTTTTGATGAGTTTAAACATTAAAGCAAAAAAGAAATTACAACTAGAACTAAATATTTATTTAAACAATAAAACATCATATTAACATAGCAATAATAAAGGCAAAGGCAAATTGAATACCAAGATATTACAAAGCTTGATGATACATCATACTGTATTTTTCAAACTTGAGTCAAAACTTAGTTAATTAATAAAATGTTGACAGTTTTAAATGTTTGGTTTTTATTCAGTTTTTAAGTGATCAAAATGAGAAACTGATTGAGAAGCATGGTTATATTTTTAGCTGCTGTTAATCCTGAGTCCTCTTCTCATACCACTGCTGTAGAAGGATATTTTCCAAGACAAGATGTTGCTCAGCAGGTAGGATATATACAATTTCTAACCAAACTATTTAAAGTTTGAGCTTCTAGTTAACCAATCATAACAGCTAGATTTATATATATTTAGGATTGTGAAATTGTATAATGTGTTGTTTACTTAGTCAGCTTGTAAAAAAAAGTGAGAACTGCAATCATATAAGTTAATGAATTATACATGTCGAAATGATTCAAAAATATTGTAATTATCATTGTAATAAGTGGAGAAATATTTGGCACTATTTGAATCAGAGACCTAATGTGAGAAAAGGGTAAAGACAAGCATTCTATATATAATTACTTGACATATGACTAAAATGTCACAAATTTGATACTTAGTAACTTATAAAAGCAATTTATTTTGTGAAGTAACCGAGATAATTGTCAAATAATTTTGGTCTGATCATAAAAAATAATTCTTAGTCTTGTTGATTTGAAATAATGCAGTGTCATATGCTACAAAATCATCATATCTTTATTTTAAGTGGAGATTTCTAGAAAAACTAATTTTTAGAAGTTGTAAGTTGTAAACCAACATACACCACTTCTAGTTGGACTTTTTTTCTGTCAGAATAAAACTGGTCCTTTTTTATGATGAAGATGGATAAGGCATTCTTCATTTACTACTAGCTGCTATTAGATAATGAATATCTTGTCTAAGAATAACATAAACCAACATAAAGACACTTAAATGTGTAATGATTTGTAAAGAGTAAGAATCTGATAAGAACAACAGAATAATCTTATAGCTGTATTATATCTAAAATAATGTGAAAGTTGTTCAATGTTTTGGCATTACTTAGATTCATGTGATGCTGAATCTTGAGTGTTAGTTGACCTTTCTAATTTTTGTATGGCATAGGTATATTGTGATACATATTTTAATAGATACTGATTACTATCTAAAGTTGTTCTGCATTTCTAATAATTTTTAATACTGTTTTTTAATCACCAGCTTTATGATATTGTTTTTACTATATTGTTTAATTCTTGTAGTTCTATTTCATGTTACATTCTGTTTTCGTGTATTGTTTCATTTCAAAATGTTCCTGTAATTGTCATTAACTGACAGGCTTGTTTCAGGTTTGAAAAAGTGTGTTTGCTCGAAATGTTGCCAAGTAAATAAATTACTACCATAGTTTTTGAAGGTGGTTTTTCTCTAAAAGTCTAATGTCTTTATTTTATTACCTTTGCATTTTTCTACTTATTTATTTGCTGACTTCTTATGTGACCATTTAAACATCATGTCTCTTTCTAAGAGAATGTACACAGCCTTCATAATAAAATGATAAACTACCTTCTTCACTACAACACTCAACTGTTTCATTATGGTCTCCTCCTCTTCAAGGCTACATTATCATAAACTAGGTACTACAGCCACATATCTATTCTCTGTATTTGTTCATCTTTAAGGTTAATCCCTCAAGTTTTAAAACTTGAATTCAACTACCTCTCTCCACAAGATAAAGCTATGATACAGAATAGACTGACAAAATGTTCTATTGGTTTCATTTATGATACAAAAGAGAAACCTTTTCATTTGAACTCTGCTATCAGCATTGTCGATTGTACGAATCTATTGATCAAGCTCTATTTATAATAAAGTATATGAATTGAATTCTTGTAGGCAGATTTTGTTAAACAAGACCGATGTCTGTAGGTTTACTTTCTTCTTAGAATTCTTCTCA